TCCAGTAAGGCTTGATAAAACACATTTCTGTTAAACTTCAAGGCTTGAGTGTGAATCTTTGGGTCTGGGAGGTTGTTTAGGCAGAGGAAGAGGCTGGGGAGCCAGGGCTGCTCAAGGCAGTGGTCAGTCAGAGGTTGGACCTGGGGATCTCAGAGGTCTTTTCCAACCCCAGTGTTTCTAAAGTAGCGTCAGAGATGATTGAGGTGTGTCCATGGCATGTTCCATCCCCTATCCATAGGCTGTTCTCAGGTGTCAGCTTGGGCCTCCTCACTGAGACTTTGAGGGAATGTTTAACGCATAGAACTCGGATCTGCTCCCACACTCACACCACGGAGCCCTTTGGTGTTACCTGTTATTCCTGGGGGGACATTGGAGCCTGACAGAGAGTTCCCTTGGATTCCTCCATGGGGGCTGCTGGCCCTGGAGTCCTGGCCTCATTCTGCACTATGACCTGTCTCTGTTCCCTTCCCAGCTGGAGAGCTCCTCGCTACATCCTGGGCATGTCGGAGGCGCGGCACGACCGCGTGCGCAAGAAGTACCACATCCTGGTGGAGGGGGAGGGCATCCCACCCCCCATCAAGAGCTTCAAGGAGATGAAATTCCCAGCAGGTGGGCTGGGAGAGGAGGCTGGCAGTGATCCCAGCTTTCCTCTGAGGGGTGTTTGTCACTGGTGGAAGAGCTGCTGCTGGGACACGGGCGGGAGGGGAAGAGAAGGGAGAGTTCAGGTTGTGAGCATGGGTGTTTGTTGTTCTCTGACAGCCATCCTGAGGGGCCTGAAGAAAAAAGGGATCCAGCAGCCAACACCCATACAGATCCAAGGCATCCCTACGATGTGAGTGCTCTGTCCCCATCCTGGAGTGCGGAGCACTCGCTGCCTGCAGCCCACCCAGTGGTGTGGACTGGGGGTTCTTGCTGGTGACAGATGCACCCCGTCACCTTGCTCAGCCCTGGCAGTTTGGGCTGTTCTGTGATGCTCAAATGTCCTGTTTCCCTGGCAGCCTCTCAGGAAGGGACATGATTGGTATTGCATTCACTGGCTCTGGGAAGACCTTGGTGTTCACCCTCCCGGTGATCATGTTCTGCCTGGAGCAGGAGAAGAGGCTGCCGTTCTCCAAGCGGGAGGGACCCTATGGACTCATCATCTGTCCCTCGGTGAGTGCCGGGGGGAAGCTGTGGTTGATATGCCATGGCAATCCCGGGTCCTGCCTGCCCAGAGGTGTAGGAATGAGCTGGTTTTGTGTCTGCAGCGGGAGCTGGCTCGGCAGACCCATGGCATCCTGGAGTACTACTGCCGCCTGCTGCAGGAGGATGGGCTGCCCCCCCTGCGCTGCGCCCTCTGCATCGGGGGCATGTCCGTCAAGGAGCAGATGGAGACCATCAAGCAGTAAGACCTTCTGGGGGAGTACATGGGGCTGGAGTTCTGTCAGGGGCCTGAGGGGTGGCACCCTGGCTTCAGGACAGCATGGGGGGGAAGGTGATGTGCCAGGTGACGTGCCTTCCCTCTGTATCCTGCATGGGGCAGGAATCCCGAGTGCCTGACCGTGTCCTCCTCTCACCCCTCAGTGGGGTGCACATGATGGTGGCAACCCCTGGGCGCCTGATGGACTTGCTGCAGAAGAAGATGGTGAGCCTGGACATCTGCCGGTACCTGGCCCTGGATGAGGCTGACAGGATGATCGACATGGGCTTCGAGGGGGACATCCGGACCATCTTCTCCTACTTCAAGGTACTCAACTACCATGACACCAGCACCCAGAAGCTCAATCCCTGCACCTACCGGGTTGGGGGAGTGCTAAATTCTTGTTCCCTGCACAGGGCCAGCGGCAAACCCTACTCTTCAGTGCCACAATGCCCAAGAAGATCCAGAACTTTGCCAAGAGTGCCCTGGTGAAGCCCATCACCATCAATGTTGGGCGAGCAGGTGCTGCCAGCCTGGATGTTGTGCAGGTGAGGTGTTTGGGTGCTGCCCCCTGCCTGTGTGGGAGACCAGCACCATTCATGAGGGTGCTTGATGCCTCCCTCTGCCAGGCAGCTGGGGTTCATGACCCTTTTTCCCAGTCAGATAAGGGATACCAAGCAGTGGCAGTTTCTCTGCTGCCTGACCCATCCCTGTGCTTGTACCTAGGAGGTGGAGTATGTGAAAGAGGAGGCCAAGATGGTGTACCTGCTGGAGTGCCTGCAGAAAACCCCTCCACCTGTGAGTAGTGCACTGGGGGCAGTGGTCACACCGCAGCCCTGGGCCACAGGGGGAGCTGGCAGGGCGACCCCATGTGAGGGCTGGGATGTGAGTGAGCCACACTCCACATATGAGCAGGGACCAGCCCTGCTCTGTGCTCTGCTCGGCATGAGGGAATGGGCTTTCCAGGGGGCTGTGCTGGTGCCAGCAGTGCCAGCCCACAGAAAGGCGGCTCTTCCATGATGTCTGTGCTGCTGCAGGTGCTGATCTTCGCAGAGAAGAAGGCAGATGTCGATGCAATCCACGAGTACCTGTTGCTCAAGGGCGTGGAAGCTGTGGCCATCCATGGAGGGAAAGGTCAGTGAGGGTCCCAGGGAGGCCTGGGCTGTGATGTGACCCCCTTCCTCCAGGGATGTGTGTGGTCAGGGGAAGTCTCAGTGTGCAGTGATTGGTGATGGTGTGAGGGAGGGCTGTGGCAGTGTCAGGAGTGAACTCCATGTTGCACAAGCAGGCATAATCCCGGTACAGGTCCCTATGGGACACAGAGGTTCCTCTGCTCCTTTGTTTGGGGAAAGGCTGCCTGGGGAGCCCCACTTGAGCTCTGAGACCGTAGTAGTTGCTACAGTAGGTAGGGCTGGGAGTGCTGCCCTTGCTGATCTTCTGTGCTGGGCTTTTGCAGATCAGGAAGAAAGGACAAAAGCCATTGAGGCCTTCCGGGATGGGAAGAAGGATGTCCTGGTTGCCACTGACGTTGCTTCTAAGGGTCTGGACTTCCCAGCCATCCAGCATGTGATCAACTATGACATGCCAGAGGAGATTGAGAACTATGGTGGGCACTGGGCCCCACGGGACCCATCAAGGGGTTGCAGAGGCCAGCAAGGCTCTGCACTTGTCTGCAGTGTCTGTCTGTCACACTGCACTCACCTGGTCCTGATCATGTCTCTGTCCCAACAGTTCACCGGATCGGGCGCACAGGCCGTTCAGGCAACACTGGCATTGCCACCACCTTCATCAACAAGGCCTGCGGTGAGGAACAGCCTGGGAATGGGGGCTGCGGCTCTAAGAGACACTTGGGTTGTGGCAAGGGGGGTTTTCTGAGCAAGCAGGATGTCTGGAGCAGGGAGAAATGGTGGCACTGGGCAGGGCCCCCCCACCCCTGCTCGGACTGTGCCTGACATGTATCTCTGCCCCCAGATGAGTCGGTGCTGATGGACCTGAAGGCCCTGCTCCTGGAGGCAAAGCAGAAGGTGCCTCCTGTGCTCCAGGTGCTGCACTGTGGGGATGAGACCATGCTGGAGATTGGAGGTGAGAGACTCCAGGCCGGCACAGGGACCCCCCTGGTCTGCAAAAGGGACCCCCAGCTCCCGAGGCAGTTCCTGCCTGGCCATGCAGGCAGCCTGGTGCCACAGCACTGGGGAGACAGTGATGTAGCCCCTCTGCTCTGGGGTGGGGAGCCTCTGTCCTGGTGTGGCACAGCTCCTCCTAACCTCCTCCCTCCCATTGCAGGCGAGCGCGGCTGTGCCTTCTGCGGTGGCCTGGGCCATCGCATCACCGACTGCCCCAAGCTGGAGGCCATGCAGACCAAGCAAGTCAGCAACATCGGCCGCAAGGACTACCTGGCCCACAGCTCTATGGACTTCTAGCCTGGGGAGTGTGCTGCCCCACATTCCACCCTCAACACAGGCTTGGGCTTCCTTGCAGCCCAGGGGCCTGTCCTGCACTGCTGTCCATGCTTTGGCCACTGGGACTGTTGCCAGCTCAGCCTGATGAAGCTTCTGCCCTGGGAGGAAATGTGTGGAGCTGTGCTGCAACAGTGCATTACATCAGCAGGGACATGTTGGGCAAGCAGGTAGCAGTGCCTGAGGGCAAGAGGAACCCCAGGTGGGGCGACTTGTCTGTGGCCAGCTGCCTGCTGCCCCTGCCAGCCCCCTACAGTGGCATCACCAGGGTCTTACATTGCTCCTCTCCAGAGTTCCTCAATTCCTCCGTGTCCACCCCTTACCTGGTATTGTCCATCCTCAATGGGGGCTGTTCTGCATCCCCAGACTTGCTGGGATGCAGCTGGGGTGAGGTGGCGCATGTTGTGCTCATGTTGGGCGCTCCCGGAGCTGCTTCCTGTGCTCTGCCCCCGCGTTCTGCCCCACTGCCCTGCAAGGGGGAGGGCGGGCACACGGACACCTCCTGTGGCCCAGCCTCTGCCCCCCATCCCACACCCCGAAAAGGGGAAGTCGCTGTGAGAAGGAAGTCTGCCCCATGCCCTTCCTTCGGCTGCAGCAGTCACATTTTCTCCGCTGCGGGTAGCCCAAGTCCCTTGTCCTCGTGCTGGCCAGAGTGGACTGGTCCCATGGAGAGACCGGTGAAGGATGGGATCCTCTATGTGCAGCACTGCAAATTTGGAAAGGTAAAGGGTGGGGTTGGGGCTTTTAGAGGGTTTGCCCTGATCTGATGATGCCAGCCCCCAGACCCTCGGCAATCTGGGAAAAGGGGGGAACTGGAATCAGATGCCTTGGAACTGCTGTGGGGGGAAAAAACTTCCTCTCCCAAGGGGGAGCCCTGGGCCCTGCAGCCCCAGGAGTGGGGTTCTCCCTGCGGCTGAGGGGACTCACCCATGTGGGCACACACTTGGGCTCACCCCTGTGCAGGGTCTGTCTGCTCGCTTGGTCACCGCGCGAGTCCCAGTGGAACAATAAAGGTGTGTTACTGTGGCACAGTTCCAGGGTGTGTGTGTGGGAGCCCCAGGGCAGCACGTGGGATGTGGTCCTGCGCCCAGCCCTCCCTCCGCCTGGCCCAGGGGGCCAGCAGCATCCATGGGACACCCTCATGGCTTGGGCTGCTCCCCTGCACCCTCGGGTTGGGCACTGAGAGCCACAGCCCTTGGGGGAGGGTACAGGTGATATGGTGGGAGACCCTGGGGTTGGGCCAACTGCAGGGAACTATTGCGTGTTGGTGAAGAAGGTCCTGCTGTCACCCTGGCCATGCCATGGCAGGGATGTATGGGGCTGCAATTACTCTCTGACCTCCCTGGTGTGCAAGAGCCGAGCCCTGGAAGCTCAGCAGGCAGCCGGCCCTGTGTGCAGGGGGCCAGTGCCTTGCCGTGCAGGAGACGGGCTGGGGGCGGTGGGTATTTTGGGTGTTTGGTTGCATCTGGTTCCTGCAGGGTGGAGGCTCTGCTGCACTTTTGAAGCACATGGGGACACGCGCCCCCGCTATCCCATGACAGGCTGGGAAGGTGCTGGTGCTGCAGAGGCTCCCCTGGGAGGAAGCGGGCTGCTCAGCAGATGTGAGGCTGCCAGCAGGAGCCCCAGTAGCTCAAAATGGCTTTAATTTGCATCAGGGTCTGTCCTGAGAACAGCTCGAGCTCAGCTGCAGCGGTGGCAGGCCAGCACTTGCAGTGGGGAACAAAGAGCAGGACCTGGTGCTCAGGGAGCCAGGAGTGAGCATGACTCACCCAGCAAGCTACGCCAAGCCTGCCTGGGGCAAGGCCCCCCTCGACCCAGTGGTCTGGGGGTCTGCACTGTCCCCAGCTCTCCAAGCCCTCCTGCAGCACCTGGCAGGTGCAGGCTGGGATGCCCCCTACACCCCTCCTGCCACATACGGGTCTTTCCAAGCGCTGCTGGCCCCACATGGAGCGCAGCACTGCCAGGATGCAGCAGGCAGCTCCTTGCTGACCCGTTTTTTCCCTGCCTGTGCCCCTCCCATTCCTCAGAGGTCCTGGAGGAAGATGCGAGCCCAGCTGTTCGCCGCCAGCCCCTCTGGCGTGGCCCGCATGGAGAAGTTCGACGTGCGGGATGATGGCACAGCCCCGGAGAAGACGCCCCTGCAGCGCTGTGCCCGCCGGGTGATCCGCCTCTCAGACTGCGTCTCCGTGGGCCCGGCGGGCACGGAGAACTGCCCTAAAGCCACCTCTGCCTTCTACCTCACCACCACGGAGAAGAGCTACGTGCTGGCAGCTGAGCAGCGGGATGAGTGGATTGCCCAGCTCTGCCAGCTGGCCTTCCAGGTACTGTGGGCTCTGGCAGAGTCAGGAGCCCTTGTGTTGCTCCTGCTTGGATGAATTGGGGGGCTCAGGGCTGGCAGGGGGCTTGTGCTCCCTGCTGTCCCAGACCATGCTCATGTTCCTCTGTTTCAGGGTGCAAAAGAGACAGTGCCGAGTAGTGACAGGACCCAGCCCAGCCCCTCTGTCCCCATGGAGGAGAACTCTCTCTACTCTTCCTGGCAGGATTGTATGTGCAGGGTTGGGGGATAGGGCTGGCATGGGCTCCAGATCAGTGCTGCAGTGCTGACCCCTGCCCTGTTCTGCTCCTGCAGTGACCGAATTCCTGGTGCTGGTGGTCCAGACAGACGCGTCCACCCGCTGTGGCCTGCAAGGGCAGTATCTGCTCTCGGCCCTTCCCCAGAGCCTGACTCTGAAGGACCTGCAGTCCCGCCAGCCCCTGCTTACCTGGCCCTACCCCTTCCTCCGCAAGTTTGGCCAGGATCAGGTGAGTCCCCTGATCCCTCCTTGGGGCTGCTGGCTCCCCAGGGTGGATGCCAGCCCCTCACCCTCCCCTCTGGCCCTGCAGGCTGTCTTCTCCTTTGAGGCTGGTCGCCGCAGTGACTCCGGCGAGGGAACCTTCACCTTCAGCACCCCACGGGCCCCTGAGCTCTGCCGGGCTGTGGCTGCTGCCATTGCCTGCCAGCAGCAGGGCAAGGACACCCCAGACCCCAGACTCTTCTGCGTCCCAGACCCCCAGCTCTCTGCACAGGGCCTTGAACCCCAACCCTGGGGACCCGGGACAGACGATCCCCAGCCCAGGCCAGGCCCGGGGGCGGCACAGCCTGCCTCCCATGCCCCTGCCAGCCTCCTCCACTTCACCCCGCCGGACCCAGAGGGCTCGTGCCCCATCGTCTACGCCTCCATCGCACGGGGCCACCAGCCCCTCTTTGTGCCAGGGCAGCCGGGCTCTTGTGAGCCCTGGGCCGCGGGGAAGCCGCTCCCTGAGCATCTCTATGAGAACATCTTCACCGCGGAACCGCTTCCAGTCGGGACACAGGAAGAGGAGGAGGAAGGGCAGTGGGAGCTGGGGTGCCGACAGGCGCCCGAGGGCCACAGCAGTGAGGGAGGACCCCTCTATGACAACCGGGCCGCCCTGGCACAGCCCACCGGGGCCGCGGGCTGGGGGCGCGGGGGGCAGGAGGCGCTGCTGGGGCGCTCCAGGCACAAGCCTCATAGCACCCTTCGGGCTAAGCTGGTGCGGCTGCTGAGCCGGGAGAGCGCCGGGGCGCGGGACTGGGCCTGATGCGGTCGGTGCCGTTTGGTCAATAAAGGCCCTGCCCGGACCCGGCTCCGCCGCTGCTGCGGAGGGGGCAGCTCTCGCCTCTCCGCCAGGGGGCGCCGCCGTGCCCGCCCCGCCGGGCAGAGGTGAGCGCGCTGATTGGCCGAGCCACCCACTGGCCCCGCCCCGTCCCGGTGCTACATAAGGCGGGTCCGGGCCGGGCGGGGTGGTGCTCGGGTTCGAGTCCCGTGTCCGCCCGCTCCGTTCGGCTCCGCTCCGCCGAGCCCCCGCGGCCGCGGGTGAGTGCGGGGGGCCTGGGCACGGCGGGGAGCTCCGCCCTCTCCGGGGGGGATGGGGACGCGAGGGACGGAGGATTGGGGCCTGGGTCGGGGCGAAGGGGGATGGTCGGGGTCGGGCCCGTGCGGGGCAGAGCCGGCGGCCCCGATCCCCGGGAGGGGCGGTGCTGTGGGATGGGGAGGGGTCGCGTGGCCCTCCGCGGGGCAGGGGGGCTCCCCAGCAGTAGGAGGGCCTGCCCGGGCTGTGCGCGCTGGGGACCCCCGGTCCGGCCGGGCCCGGATCCGCCGGGAGGGGTGCGGGGTGTCCGCCCCGTCCCGGCGCCTCGCTCGGGCTTGCGCGGCTGCCGGGCGCCGGGAATGCCTGACACGCAGCTCTTCCCCCGGCCCTCCCGAGCAGGGAGCGGGCTGGTGTCGTCTTACACGCCTTATATAGCCCGCACCGGCCCAGGGAGAGCGGGGGCACGCTGGCCCCCGGCCCTGCGGCCGCCCTGCCGGCCCGTGCGGGGCGCGGGGAGTCCCGCAGACGACCCCGCTCCACCCTGGCAGGAAGGTCCTGGGGCGTTTCGCGGGGGTCTGGCGGCTCCAGGTGAGGGGTGACAAGAGGCTGGTGCCGGCCCATCTGCCCGGAGCCTTGGCCGGCTGACAGCTGTCAGGCAGGGGAGCGCTGGGATTCCCTCCCGCCGAAGCCCTGGAGATGGACTCGCTCCCAGGGAGCATCTGCTCAGCCGGCTGCTGGAGTGTCAGCCTGGCTGCTCTGCCAGGCGCCTCGGGTGGCATCACGCAGCTCCTGCGCTGCTGCTGCTGCTAATTCATCCGGCAAAAACGCTTCTGGTTCATATCCCTCCATACCTGCTGTTGCTTCTCTGCGATCTAAACAGCCTGGGCTGTCTGCAGTGTGAGTTCCTGGGGTACTGCAAGGGAGAGCACAGCCCAGGTTTGGGAGGAGAACAGAGCCCACAGACACTCCACTGTGGGTGGCAGCAGGGTTGTGCCTGACTCTCTGGCGCTAGTCAGTGTTAGCCTGGGCCCCTCAGCTCTGACGTCCTGAAGGAGATGCTGATGGATTTGGGGTGCGTCTCTAACCACATTGTAGGATGGTCAGGGTGGAGTTACAGCTGGAAATGTGCCCTGCCTCCTCCTGTCCTGCCCTGCCAAACGCTGGGCCCCCTCCTCAGCTGCTCTCCTTACATTGTTCCCATGAATCCTAATGCCAGGATCACACCCTCTTCCCTTGCAGAGATGGGCGACATGGAGTCCTACAAGGTGATGCTGAACGGGCCGGCACCCTGGGGCTTCAGGCTGCAGGGAGGGAAGGATTTCAGCATGCCGCTCTCCGTCTCCAGGGTAAGAGAAGCCGAAGCTGGTGACACCCATCCTTCCTCCTGCCTCTGTGGGAGGGAGGCTGTGGCAGCAGTGTCCAGGAGGCTGAGCTGGAGTCCTACAGGGGATGCAGATGAGTTGGGGCCCCAGGAGTGCTGCATCCTGCTCTGCCTGGCTCCACATAGCCTCCTTGGTGCCTTATCAGCTGCAGCCCGGCACGGGGGTGTTCCGGGCAGAGAACTGCGGCAGAGATGTGAAATGCTGCACAGCCTCTGCAGAGGGGGGCAGGGGAGGCCCCTTCCGGAGCATGCCCACCGCAGGGGGAGGGGATCTGCTCTCTGAGATGTGGGACTGCCTTCCTGATCCACATCCCAACGCTGGGATCGGCATCCCAGGACCCAACCAGCATCCTTCTGCCCTCCCTTCCACTGCGCAGCTCCTAACTCCGTGCCTGAGCTCATCCCTGAAATGGGCAGGGAGAGGAGGAAGCTTCTGCTGCTTCCTGCACAGTGACATGATTCCCTCCACAAAACTATTCTGTTTCTCCAGGGAGAACCGTTGTGCCACAGCTGGTTGTGACTGAGGCCTCAGGTTTGAGCTGTGCCCAGTGCAATGCTCAACCAGGCCAGGTCTGTCCACGGGCGGGTGCTGGCCACAGCTCTGGCCACGCAATTGCCTTATAAGCCTTGGAATGTGACTGCAATGCCTGTGCCTCTGGCGCTCGGGCAGCTGGCACGGAGGCTGCTTCTTGAAGGACAACTTTGCTCGTGGCACCGGACGCTGCGTGGGGCCCTGTCCCCGGCACGAGCTTGGCACTGCATGCCTGTCCCAGAGGACACGGATCTCTGCAGCACCCAGGCAGGGACGATGGCCCCTAGGGCACCATGTGAGGCTGGAGTCACCAGCACCGCTGCCCCAGGGCCTGCTGATCTCTGCTGAGCATGCAGAGAAGGCTTCAGCGAGTTTATTCTCTAAAAAATGTTTCTCTTGGCTGTGAGCCAGCGCTTAACAAAGGGTCTGGTCGGATGGAGGAGCCTCCCAAAGCCCGGGGCAGGGGCCTTGTGAAGCAGCACTTGGTGGGGCTTGGGCAGTGCTGCCGTCAGGAGCAGTGAGGGCATTCCCAGGGGATGTAGCCAGCTTTGGGGGGCTCTCTGTTAAGACCAGGCTGTGTGGCAGGACGATGTGCTCTGTCTGATGGGAGGGGGTGAGCCTTGCGCTGCTCTGCACCCCAGAGACATTCCTAGCCCCAGAGTTCTTGCCCAGAGCACACTGCTGCCTTTGGCCACCATTTCCCATGAACTTGCCCTGCTAAAGCAGGGTGGAAGGAAGCATCCTGCCCCAGCTTTGAGGGCTGCAGTGGGGTCCTGCTCTGTGAAGCCGAGGAGCCTAGGGGGAAAGCAGCACTGGCATGTACTCTGGCTCTTGGCTGTATCCCTCACTGTGACACTACTGGGTGAGCTGTCAGGCTGCTGGCCTGACTCACTGGCCACACACAAAAGAGGTGCCACCATGGCCCCCTGCACAAGGACCTCCTGTGGCAAGGGGCTCTGCTGGGGTACTGACACTGGGGCAGACTGTATGCCACAGTCCCTGCAGCAGAGCCAGGGCAAGGGCTGCCATCTGGGGAGCTGGGTGCTGTGTGGCACATCCCAGCAACTGCCGGCTGGGGAAGAGGGGAGACCCTTGGTTCTGTTGGCAGGATGGTGCTGGGGGATGTACCTTCCAGCCTCTCCTCACCGTGCTGGGTGGGGCTCTGTCCTGGGGGTCCCTGGAAGGGGTGGCAGGTGGGCACCTCTCTGGGCAGGGTGACAGAGGTGCAGGGAACAAAGGACTGGCTGGGTGGAGAAGGGAGGAAGGAAACCCTGGGTTTAGGTTAGCAGGCCTGGGTGGGAAGCGGGAGGGCTGGCACCGCTACGGCTCCTGGCTCAGCTGGCACCTGCCACAGGAGTTTCCTGACATGCCAGCATGGAGGGGGACGGGAAGTGCTGACCGGGCTGGGTGAGGCTGTGTGACGCAGCCTGACGTGCTCTCCCCTTCCCAGCCAGCCGTGTGAAAACCTTTCCAAGCTACTGCTCCTGCCTCCAAACCCACACAACCACCCCGCGCCTTCCCCAGCCCTCCAGGGCAGCAAGCCGGGGCTTGCAGCGGCATTGCCAGCCAGCACCGCTGCTGCCCAGGGCACCCTCCTGTGCTGGTCAGGAGGAGCAGGCACTGGGCTGAGGGGTGGAAGCGGGGTGCAGGAAGAACCGAGCCACATCCAACCCGGCTATAGGGTTTGGCCTCACGTGGAGCGGCAGTGTTGGCGCAGGGAAGGGGAATGTGGCTCTGGGGTGAGCCAGGCTCTGCGCACGGGCAAGGAGGGGCCAGGACTCAGCGGCAGGGATTTTTCAGCCCTCTGACAGTGCTGGGAATCTGGCTCGCTCCTTTTATGTTCATGTCGAACAGGACTTGAGGAAATACTTGGTCCGGGTCCAAGCGCCTCGAGTTCTTCCATGCTGGAGGAGCAGGAATGGCTACACCCTGCCCACATCTGTCTGTCTGTCTGTCAGTGCCTGGGAGCTGTGTGGTACTCCGGGCCCTGCTCGCCTCTGGCTGTGCATCCCTGGTGGGAGGGGAGGGCAGGACAGCCTCCACTTCCCAGCACGGGGCTGACGTAGACCCGTGCCACGGAGCCCCAGCGGGGGCAAGGCGCATCCCTGGCACTGTGGCCGGGAAGGAGAACCTGTGGCCGTGCTCTCGGCTGTCCCGGCGGGGCGATGTCTGGGGGAGCAGCGTGGGTGGGGGCGGTTGTCTCCCTGCCTTGGGAGGGCTCCTGCTCCTCTGTGGGAATGAGGTAATGTCTGCGCCTGCTGGGAATGGGACGGGAGCATGGAGCTTGGGCGGCTGGGGGAGTGCCCAAGGGGTGCCTCCCCTGACCCCCCCCCTTGCCCCAGGCGAAGGGCTGGACATGCCTGTGGTTTGCAGTGAGATGTGGGCTGCCCAAAGGGCCCTGACTCACTGTGCTCCCTTCCTGCCCGGGACCACAGGGATGGCTCTGAGGGGTAGCTGGGCTTCCTGCCGAGGCTGAGCCAGCACCGCCTCCGTGTTTGGCCTCATGAGGATGAGGCTCTAGGGTGCTGGCATAGTCCCCAGCCATGCCAGAGGGCAGGGGCTGGGCAGTGCCCAGGGGTACTGCTTTGCTCGCTGCTGCTGCCAAGAGGAAGCAGCTGCTCTGGGCTCATGCACTGGAAAATGAGGAATGAGCTGGGTGTTCCCACCTCCCCCAGGGTTAGGCCTGTGTGGGTATCCTGTGCTGGGCTGGAGAGCCTGAGTCCCAACAGACCCCTACCTTCATAAGGATGAGGACATCCCTCTACTCCTGAGCCAGCACTTGGCTGTTTCAGCTCTCCCTAATTCTCTCTGTCTTGCAGCTGACTCCAGGTGGGAAGGCGGCTCAGGCTGGCGTGGGAGTGGGCGACTGGGTGCTGTACATCGACGGGGAGAGCACCAGTGCCATGACACACATTGAGGCCCAGAACAGGATCCGTGCCTGTGGGGACAGGCTCTGCCTCACCCTGAGCAGGTAGGAATCATGGGTCCTGCAAACATGGGTTCCTGATGTGGCCAAAGCAGAGCCAGGGCCATCTCCCAGCATCTCCATATCCTGCCATCACTGATCCAGCTCAGAGCTGGGCAACCCCTGGCTGGGTCTGAGGGCTCAGCTTGGCTGGATGGGGCTTAGCCTGGCTGTGAGCCACAGGGCAGTGCCAGCGGGCCATGGCTCCCCTTGGGTGGTTGTTGCATCCCTGAGGTACCAATGTCCCAGCAGTGCCTGGGCCAGTTCCAGCACCTGCCTATCTGTCTCCTCTCTTGCAGAGCCCAGAACCAGCTGGGGAAGCCGCAGAAGGTACGTGTCGCTCCTGGTGCTGCAGTGGCAGCTCAACCTCATCTCAAGGGAAGGGAATCTCTGAGTGTAGATGGATAAATAGACTTTGCTCCTGGGGCTCACAGGATTTTAGGGGACTGGGGTGCATTTGGAGGTCTAGATAACCCTGCTGGAGTAGCAGCTCTGACCTCTGGCACTGTGGAGAATCAGAGAGAGCTGTGTCTGCCCAGAAGGCAGCTTGGTCCAGGCTGTTCCCCTGCTTGTGCCGGGCTTGGGCAGGGGTACAGAGGGGTCAGTGCAGGGGAGGAGACTGGGCAGCTGCAGCACCATGTTTGCTGGTGCTGGGGAGTGCCCTGGCACAGGGAGGCAGGACTGGGGCTGGTGACCAGTGGCTCCTGGATGGAAACTGCCTACATGGGTTCAGCTTTGTGCCACAGGATGGTTGCGATGGGTGTGTGTGCATGCACCGCCCTGCCATGGGCAGCAGCAAGTGTCTGGGGCACCTACTAATCCTCCAACGACCCTCAGGCTGGGTTTGTGACCTGCTGTCACTGGGTTGGCTACCCTGTGGAGAGCGGTGCCAGCCTGACAGAGCCCAGTGTCTGAGGTGCACGTGCTCTCCAGCTTTCCTACCTGGCTGCCTGCTGCGCTGCCTGGCCCGGGGCTGCCCCTTGCATGCTGCTTGACGTGTGAGCCCGTGTCTGTGTGTTTTGTCTCGCTCAGGACTCACTCCCCTGCTCTGAACCCCTGAAATATAACTTCGCTCCCAGCACCGCCCTCAACAAAACAGCTCGGCCCTTTGGGGCTGGCTCGCCTCCGAACCCACGGCCCGGGCTGGTGACGAAACCCGTGACGTACGCGCCCCTGGCGCCAGCCTGCACCCCCCAGCACAATGGGTATGTTGCTGTCCATCCTGCTCCCTGAGGACTGGGGGGAGCCCGCTGCCCAGCCCTGCTGCGCCTTGCATGCCAGACACCATGGGTGGGAGTGGGTGAGAGTGGGTGAGAGTGGCCGTGCCGGGGTCTCCGGTGGCTGGTGCTGAGGTGGCACAACAGGACTGTTGCACTCAGGGACACACAGCCACACTCGTGCTGATCTAGCTCAGGGATGTGTCAGCCTGTGTCCTGCAAGACATGACACAGCGGCTGTAGCAGGACTCTGGCTGGCATCTGCAGCAGCAGGGAAACAGTGGCTACCTGGGGATGTCCTGCTGGTCCCCTGGCTGCCGGCATAGGGTGGGCAGCGTGAAGCCCCCCAGCACTGCGCAGCACCATCCTCACCCAGCTCTGCTCAGCTGCCTGTGTCTGGCATCTCCTGGTCCCTCCTGAGAGAGCTACTGTAGTGCCCTGGAACTGGGCAATGGAGTGGGATGTGACACTGGCTGCCCTGGGCACCCAGGCCTGTTCTCAGGGTTGAGGGAGCACAGTCTGGTCCATTGGCATCTGCCCCTGTGCCCCGGTGTGCTCCCAGCCCTGGGCGAGCTGGGTGTGAGTCTCAGGGGTAAGGGGACTAATGTAGGCCATAGGTGAACTCTGGAAACTTCTTGGGTGCTGCAGGTCTAATTTCACCTTCCTTTTTCTTTCTTTCTCTCCTCCCTTTCTCTTTCCCTCTCCCTACAGGTGCTGAGCCTTGACAAGTCAGTAAGCCTTTTGCCTGTTCTCTCTATCCTCCCTGCATGCCTCTTCCCTGCTATTGCCCTGTTCCCCTGGGCAGGGCCAGCCTGGGGACGGGCAGCACATGCTGCTCTGCCCATCTGGGTGGGTCACTTTTGGCAGCAAACTGTCCTCAGCCTGAAGGGCAAGTGCTGTCTGTCTCTACCAGTTGCTGGGGCCCTGGAGTGTCCTTGTGTGTGATCCCTTCCCTGCTCCCCAAGATGTGGCTCGGCCAGACAAGGGCTGATGGGCTGTGCTAGGCACCCTGCCCAGGGGCAGGTGGCATGCCATGGGCAGTCACTAGGCTCTGGTGCAGTTCCCCTGATGGTCGTTTTTTGGCCTTGGCTTATTCTTGCTCTGTCCTTTCTCCTTCTGGCCCTTGGGGCCATTATAAGACTGTCAGGAATGGTGGTCAGTCCAAAGTCGGTCCTTCATGAGCCAGGTCTTTACTGGGGAGAAGTAGAGGGGTGGGGAGTAAGGCAACGTGTGGTGTCTTGAGTACTGGTGTGCTGTGGTTCTTTGCCAGGGGAGGTGTGGGGCAGCCCCAGGGAAGTGATGCCGTGAGATCTGTCAGATTTGACAGATGACTCTGTCACTCACAGGCAGCCCCCTCAGCTGCTGGAGCCCCCCAGCAGCCCCGTGTGCGACCCTGTGAAGCTGCGGATGTTAGAGGACATTGATGACTCGCAGCCCCACAGCTGGACCTCCCAGTCCCGCTCCTTCCGCAAACTGGCCCGGCTGGTGGGCGCAGACAGCAGTGAGTTGCTGTGGGGCATTGTGGCACTTGAGTGTTGGTTTTGGCCCCATGTGGCCCCTGTGGGCCAGCTGAGCCAGTGGGAGCTGCCCGGGGCTGTGTGTGGGCTCGTGGTGGTGCCACTGGTCTGGGGCTGTGCTCTGCCCCATGGCTGGGCAGGGCTGTGCAATGAGGCAGGTGGGTGGCTGGAAGAGAGGGCGTTTTCCCTTTCCTGTTCCTTTTCCATTTCTTTTATCTCTGAACCTCAGTTGCCACAGACTGACTCTGTCTCCCCCTTTCTCTCATGTTGCACTCAGTGGAGGATGGTGAGGATGAGCTTGTTAAAAAGCCCAGGTAAGGGGAGTGTGTGCTCAAGTGGCAGCAGGAGCCACAAGATGCTCAGCCCACCTGGCTGCTTCGTCCTCACAGCTTGCAGTCACTCTGGGGATGCTCTTTGCCCTGTTGCTCTTTCTTGTTTCCTCCTCCTCCATCCTCTCCCCTTCCCAGAGCCGAGCGTTTGGTGGAGCTGCAGAGCCTGCCCTACACTGAACCCACCGTGGGCACTGCCAGTGCTCAGCCACTGCTCTGACTGTCGCTTTGGGAGGGTCCTGCCTGGACACCCACCAGCCAGGCGGGATGTCCTGTGCCGGGTAGGACCCTCTGGGCACTGCTGGCACCAAGCTGGGGAGACCAATCTCTGCCATTGCTATTTAAACAAATGGTATCTGGAGAAGGCTGATGGCACTAGCAACACCTTGCTGGGGGTGCTCTGAGGTTCCAGGCATTGCCTGGACCTGGGGCACAGTGTGCCATGAGCCTGGCATGGAGTCGCTGGGCAGAGCTGGGTGAGTGTCGCCGACTTCTCCTTGTGCTGGAGCACATTCGTGAGGGATGGGCTGAGCGCTGGTCAAATACTGAGTGTTGTGCTACCCTTTTCTCCAATACCACAGGGATGCCCACGGGTCCAGCTGGGGCACAGTGGAGCAGTGGTGAGTGCGGTGGTTTGACAAGGGCACCTTTGGGAGCACTACCCTGTGGTGAAGCAGGGTCTGTGCTTGGTGTTGGCTGAGCTCCTGCCCTCTGTCACTCACAGGCAGCCCCCTCAGCTGCTGGAGCCCCCCAGAAGCCCCGGGTGTGACCCTGGGAAGCTGCGGATGTTAGAGGACGCTGAGGACTGGCAGCCCCGCACCGGGACCTCCCAGTCCCGCTCCTTCCGCAAACTGGCCCAGCTGACGGGCACAGATGGCAGTGAGTTCCTGCAGGGCCTGGCACTGGCTGGGGGTGATGGACTGGGGTAGCCAGAATCTGGCAGAGCCTGTGGGGTGATGGGGCACTAAAGGTTTGGTTTTGGCCCCCTTGAGGGCAGCTGAGCCAGCGGGAGCTGCCCGGGGCTGTGTGTGAGCTCGTGGTGGTGCCATTGGTCTGGGGCTGTGCTCTGCCCCATGACCGGGCATGGCTATGCAATGGGGTGAGGGGATGGCAGGTGGGGGGAGTCAGTTTTCCTGCTTTCCCTTCCTGCTGTGCCTGGTCCTTGGTTGCCACAGACTGACTCCATCTTTCCCTTTTTTTCCTGTTGTGTGCAGTGGAGGATGGTGAGGATGAGCTTGTTAAAAAGCCCAGGTAAGGGGAGCGTGTGCTGAAGTGGCAGTAGGAGCTACAAGGTGCCTACCCCGGGCTCAGCCCACCTGGTTGCTTCATCCTCACAGCTTGCAGTCACTCTAGAGAAGCTCTCTGCCCTGTTGTTCTTTCTTCTCTCCTCTCCTTGTCCTCCACCCTCAGGTCTCTCTCTTCTCCATGCCCCTGGAGATGAGCTGCTGGCGGAGCTGCAGAGCCAGCCCCATGCTCACCCCACAACAGGCACCGCCAGTGCTCAGCCACTGCTGACCATCACCTTGGGAGGGTCCTGCCCAGACACCCACCTGCCAGACAGGGTCCCCAAATGGGGTGTCCCTGTGCTGGGTAGGACCTGCTGGGCATTGCTGGCACAGAGCTGGGGAGGCTGAGATGCAGCACTGTATGCTGGACACAGTGGGTGAGGGTGGCTGGTGGCACTGATAACACCTTGATTGGGGTGTTGGGAGTTCCTGGGCAGGACTGGACCTGGAGTACAATGTTTTGGGGGGCTGTGGAATGGCTGTAAGGCTGGTCAGGAGTGAATGCTGATGGTATTTCCATGAGGCTTGTGTATCCCTGATGCGGTGGGGGCATACAGGAAGGACGGGCTAAGCCACGGGTCAATCACTGACTGTTATGCCACCGTTCTTTCTGATACCACAGGGATGCCCATGGGTCCAGCTGGGGTACAGGGCAACAGCGGTGAGTGCCAGGGTCTGGCAGAGGTGTTGGCATGTGCCAGGGCACCTTTGGGAGCACTACCCTGTGGTGAAGCAGGGTCTGTGCTTGGTGTTGGCTGAGCTCCTGCCCTCTGTCACTCACAGGCAGCCCCCTCAGCTGCTGGAGCCCCCCAGCAGCCCCGTGTGTGACCCTGTGAAGCTGCGGATGTTGCAGGACATTGATGACTCGCAGCCCCACACCTGGACCTCCCAGTCCCGCTCCTTCCGCAAACTGGCCCGGCTGGTGGGCGCAGACAGCAGTGAGTTCCCTCGTGGCCTGGCACTGGCTGACCAGCCAGGTGTGCTCGGCTTTGCTGGAGCATTTGGAACCAGATAAAAGCTGTGGTGTGTTGTGGCAGTGGGGCATTGGTTTTGGCCCCATGTGGGCCCTCTGTGGCAGCTGAGCCAGTGGGAGCTGCCCAGGGCTGTGTGCAGGCTCGTGGTGGTGCCACTGGTCTGGTGCCATCCTCTGCCTCATGGTCAGGCAGGACTGTGCATTGGGGTAGGGGGCAGCAGGAGGAGAGGGTGTTTTTTCCTTCCTTTCCTTCCTTCTATGAGTGGGTCTCGGTTGCTGCAGACTGACTCCATTTCCCCTTTCTCTCCTGTTGCACTTAGTGGAGGATGGTGAGGAGGAGCTTGATAAAAAGCCCAGGTAAGGGGAGCATGTGAATTGGTGGCAGCAGGATCCACAGGGTGCCCACCTCGGGCTCAGCCCACCTGGCTGCTTCATCCTCTCAGCTTGCAGTCACTCTGGGGATGCTCTCTGCTCTGTGCGGATTCTTTTCTCCCTCTGGGTCCTCTCCCAGACTCGTGCTGTTTCCAGAGCTGCACAACAGGCACCACAAGTGCTCAGCCACTGCTCTGACTATCACCTCAGGGGGGTCCTGCCTGGGCACCCACCTGTCAGACAGGCTGTCCCCAAGCAGGGTGTCTCCCTGTGAGATGTGCAGGCAGGACCCTCTGAACGCTGCTGGCACAGAGCTGGGGAGGCCAAAGTGCAGCACTGTGTGTTGGACACAGTGGGTAGGGATGGCTGATGGCGCTGACAGCACCTTGCAGGGGTGTTGGGAGCTGCTGGGCAGCAACTAGTCTTGGGCATTGTGTCCCATGTGCCTGTGGAGCACCTACAAGGCTGGTTGGGAGTCACTGCTGCCAGCATTTTCACATGGTTTGTGCCTCCGTGGGACTGAGTGCATGTGGGAGGGACAGGCTGAGCCATGGATCAACCACTGACTGTTGTGCTGCTGTTTTTTCTGATGCCACAGGGATGCCCGTGGGTCCAGCTGGGGCATGGTGGAGCAGCGGTGAGTGCCAGGGTCTGGCAGAGGTGTTGGCATGTGCCAGGGCACCTTTGGGAGCACTACCCTGTGGTGAAGCAGGGTCTGTGCTTGGTGTTGGCTGAGCTCCTGCCCTCTGTCACTCACAGGCAGTCCCCTCAGCTGCTGGAGCCCCCCAGAAGCCCCGGGTGTGACCCTGGGAAGCTGCGGATGTTAGAGGATGCTGAGGACTGGCAGCCCCGCACCGGGACCTCCCAGTCCCGCTCCTTCCGCAAACTGGCCCAGCTGACGGGCACAGATGGCAGTGAGTTCCTGCAGGGCCTGGCGCTGGCTGGGGGTGATGGACTGTGTTGGGGTAGCCAGAATCTGGCAGAGCCTGTGGGGTGATGTGACACCAGGGCTTTGGTTTTGGCTCCAAACCACCCCTCTGTGGCAGCTGAGCCAGCGGGAGCTGCCCAGGGCTGTGTGTGAGCTCGTGGTGGTGCCACTGGTCTGGGGCTGTGCTCTGCCCCATGGCTGGGCAGGGCTGTGCAATGGGGTAAGGGGATGGTGGGTGGGGAGGTCGGTTTTCCTCCTTTTCCTTTTCCTTGCCCTTTCCCTTCCTGTTGTGCCTGGGCCTTGATTGCAGCAGACTGAGTCCGTCTCCCCCTTTCTCTCATGTTGCGCTCAGTGGAGGATGGTGAGGATGAGCTTGTTAAAAAGCCCAGGTAAGGGGAGCGTGTGCAGGGGCTGCATGTCCCAGGCAGGTGTCTGGGCACTTCTGGCTCTGAGCTGGGGATGCTGAGCTGCACCTTAGCTTTTTGGGCATGTGGGTAGTGGAGGAGTCTGATGGCACTGGGAAACCTGGTTATGCAATGTAGGGAGGTGCTGGGTAGTACCTGCAGTTGGGGCACATTGTCCCTTGAGCTTGGTATGGAGCTGCCAGGTGGATAGACTGAGCTGGGTGAGTACCACCAGCTCATTTGCCCTCACCCTCGCTGCTTGTGGTGACTCTCAGGAAGCTCTTTACCCTGTAGTGGTTTCTTGTCTCCCTCTCCATCCTCTCCCAGAACTGACCTGTTGGCAGAGCCACAGACCCCCCCTTCCCTCAGCCCACAACAGGCACTACCAGTGCTCAGCCACTGCTTTGACTCACCTTGGGAGGGTCCTGCCTGGACACATATGCCATACAGGTGTCCTCAAATGGTGTCCCTGTGCCAGGCAGGACCTCTGGGCACTGCTGGCACCCAGCTGAGGAGACTGAGATGCAGCACTGGGTGCTGGACACAGTGAGTGGGGGTGGCTGGTGGCACTGACAGCGCCTTGATTGGAGTGTTGGGAGGCACTGGGCAGCAACTAGTCCTGGGGCTTGATGTCCTGTGGGGCCATGGAATGGCTGCAAGGCTGGTCAGGAGTGAATGCTGTCAACATTTCCATGAGGCTCATGTATCTCTGAGGCTGTGGGTGTGTATGTGAGGGATGGACTGAGCTATGGGTCAACCACTGACTGTTGTGCCGCCGTTTTCTCGATGCCACAGGGATGCCCGTGGGTCCAGCTGGGGCATGGTGGAGCAGCGGTGAGTGCCAGGGTCTGGCAGAGGTGTTGGCATGTGCCAGGGCACCTTTGGGAGCACTACCCTGTGGTGAAGCAGGGTCTGTGCTTGGTGTTGGCTGAGCTCCTGCCCTCTGTCACTCACAGGCAGTCCCCTCAGCTGCTGGAGCCCCCCAGAAGCCCCGGGTGTGACCCTGGGAAGCTGCGGATGTTAGAGGACGCTGAGGACTGGCAGCCCCGCACCGGGACCTCCCAGTCCCGCTCCTTCCGCAAACTGGCCCAGCTGACGGGCACAGATGGCAGTGAGTTCCTGCAGGGCCTGGCGCTGGCTGGGGGTGATGGACTTTGCCTGGGTTGCCAGAGCCCAACAGGGGCTGTGTTGTGGCACTGTAGTGTTGTTCTTGGCCCCATGTGGTCCCCATGGGCAGCTGAGCCAGCGGGAGCTGCTCGGGGCTGTATGTGGGCTCGTGGTGGTGCCACTGGTCTGGGGCTGTGCTCTGCCCCATGGCTGGGCAGGGCTGTGCCTTGGAGCAGAGGGATGGCAGGTGGGGAGGTCAGTTTTCCTCCCTTCCCTTTCCCCTTCTGTTGTGCCTGGCCTTGATCTCTGCAGACTGACTCTGTTTCCTCCTTTTTCTCCTGCTGCGCTCAGTGGAGGATCATGATGAGGTGTTTGTTAGGAAGCCCAGGTAAGGGGTGTGTGTGGCAGCAGGAGCCCTGTGGGGCTGCATGTCCTGGGCAGGACCCGTTGGGCATTGTTGCACCTCAGCAGGGAATGCTGAGCTGTGCTGTCGTGTCCCAGAAACAGCAGTTTTGGGGTGGCTGATGGCACTGGCAAAATCCTGCTGGGGTGTTTTGATGTTTGGGCAGCACCTGCACCTGAGGCATGGTGTCCTATGGGCCTGGCGTGGGGCAGCTGGGCAGAGCTGGTGGGTGTCACCTGCTTCTCCCTGTGTGGGGCAGGGAAGGGAACCAGGGCTCTTCCTTGCTCCATGAAGCTGGGCAGGAGCAGTGCACCGCACCCCATTTTTTTACCTTCACCTGTCTGTGATGCCTTCTGCCCTGGTGCTGTGGCCCTCGTGTCCCAGCTCTGTCCAGTTTGCTCTCCCACTAGTAAAAGCTCCCGGGTTTGTAACCATCGGTTTCTTGTGTTTGCCCTGAAGAGGCACAGAGCCACAGGCTCTCCCTCGGTCCCTGTCCCATCTCTCGGGTGGGCTGTACCTCTCTGGCCCTGGCTTTCCCTGCTTGTCCCCAAATCTGCTGAGTTGGGCCCCAGGGCTTCCTGCATCAAGTTGGGTTCAAGCCCCTCTGCACCCCAGTGTGACTGTGAGTGATCACCACGTGTGAGCAGGCAGCCAGAGTCTGTGGGGTCCCCAGGGTCCCTGGTCAGTCTGAAGCAGCCCAGATCCCTCCCTCCTACTGCTCTTCAGACCACCACAGCAGGTACCAGACACCCCAGGGGTGCTGTGTCTTGGCAGGGCTGATGGTACCTCATCACCAAACCAGCTACTGGCTGGGCACGGGGGCTTGGCCAAGTCCTGCCTGCTTGTTGGGTTGGGGGGCCCTGCCTGCACCCTCTGGGCAGCAGAGTGGGGCAGGCTGGATTAACTGCGTGTTCTGTAGCCAGGTCTCCGTGTCGGACCCATCTCCAGGAGCAGCGATGAAGACTGAGCCGGGCCTGGGTGAGCAAAACATCTCTGGGCTTTTTAGGAGAGGAGTGGGGCTGCTGGGGGATGCCACTCGCCCAGCCACAGGTTCTGGGAGGGAGCTGCAGAGGGATCAGGACTGTTGTAGAGACTTTTGTGTGCATGCAGCCCCCAGGACCCCCACTGCCACTCCCGGCCCCACCAGCCGCCCACCCTGGGCTGTGGACCCGTCGTTCGCCGAGCGCTACGCCCCGGACAAGACGAGCACGGTGGTGAGCAAGCACAGCCAGCCGGCCACGCCGACCCCCATGCAGAACCGCAGCTCCATCGTGCAGGCGGCCCAGCAGGCCCCCGAGGGGCCCGGCTGCACCCCCCTCTGCTACAAGTGCAACAAGGTCATCAGGTGAGCCCTGGCCACCGCCACCCCCTGCCAGCATCCTGGGCCCCAGCGTGGCTGACGTGGCTCTGTCCTGCTGCAGGGGACGGTACCTGGTGGCACTGGGACATTATTACCATCCCGAGGAGTTCATCTGCTGCCAGTGCAGGAAGGTGCTGGATGAGGGCGGCTTCTTCGAGGAGAAAGGCTCCATCTTCTGCCCAAAGTGCTACGACACACGCTACGCGCCCAGCTGTGCCAAGTGCAAGAAGAAGATCACTGGGGTGAGTGTCCCTCAGCCTGTCCTGCGCCTCCTGTCCTTGCTCCCTGCTCACCTACGGGTGCCTGGCTCTGTCCCTTCCCACCGTGATCCCAACCCATGGGATCCCTTGTCCCTTCCTGCCCTGGGTGGTCCTGCTCCTGGCTGACAGTCTCTCCCCTCCAGGAGGTCATGCATGCGCTGAAGATGACCTGGCACGTGCAGTGCTTCACTTGCAATGCCTGCAAAACTCCCATCCGCAACCGAGCCTTCTACATGGAGGAGGGACAGCCCTACTGCGAGAGAGGTAGGACCCAGGGACCCCATGTGTCACCCCATGTGGCCCTGGTGCACTGTTGGGGCTCAGCAGCTGCCCACAGGGGTTGGGGGGGTGAGCTGCTCTGGGCCATGGGGAGCTCCTGCAGCCCTGAGCTCTCTATCCCAGTCCTCCCGGTAGTGCCATCGCTCCTGTGTTGTCATGGTGATGAGGGAGGATGTACATCAAAGCGAGTGCTGCACCCTGGGAGATGAGGTTTGCCTCCTCCCTGCAGCCCTGTGGTGGCCAGGCCACCTGCACGGCACAGGCACTTTGCCTGGGTGTCTGGGGCATCGTCCCCTCGGGACTGGCAGCAGGTTGGCCCCAGGCTGTGCCTGTGGGATCCCGGCTGAGCTGCAGCCCTTCTCCCCCGAGATGAGGGGCTGTGGTGCAGAGAAACGCTGACCTGGGCTCTACCTCTCCACACAGACTACGAGAAGATGTTTGGCACCAAGTGCCGCGGCTGTGACTTCAAGATCGATGCTGGGGACCGGTTCCTGGAGGCGCTGGGGTTCAGCTGGCACGACACTTGCTTCGTCTGTGCGGTGAGACTTGTGCCTGTGTCTCTCCCCGACAGTCACGCCCTGCATGGGGCACACCAGCAGCACAGGGACCCTGTGGCCACAAGGTTTTCCCTACTTGGCTCTGTGCTGGGGGCTTGGGAATTGGCTCTGAGCCTTTTGGTCCATGGTACCTTGTGTGACACCAGTGCTGGGCTTTGGGGGTGGGGGAGACCTGGAGGCTGACTCAGCCCCCCTGACCTGACCACCTGTACTCTCCTCCCCAGATCTGCCAGACCAACCTGGAAGGGAAGACGTTCTACTCCAAGAAGGACAAGCCGCTCTGCAAGAGTCATGCTTTCTCCCATGTGTGAGGGGTGGAAGTTCAGCTGTGCCCATACGTGCCCCTGGCCCTGCATGCTCCTCTCCCCCCATCCTGATGCCTCCAGGGAGCCAGGCTGGGCCCTTGGCCCTTCCCCTTGCTCCTGCCTCTTTCCTGGCAGCTCCTGGCCTGAATTCAGCTGGAGACAGTGCTGGGTGCAGAGCCCTTATAGCTGGGTGGCTTCTTCTGTGCTTCCTGACTGGCCCTAGGAGCCCTGGGAAGGGGACACTGCATGGATCTCCTGCCCCTGAACCACGCAGCATAGTGGGCACAGCTGTGCCGAGGTTGGAATCAGGGATGCTCTGGCACAGCCAGGCTGCTCCCTTGCTGCCTGGCAGCTCAGTGCTGGGGCAGGGATATTCCTATCACATCCCTGAGTGGGTGAGGACCAGCCCCCTGCCACACTCTTCCTCACGTTCCCTGCTGTGTGCTTAGTACATGGGGCTGGAAACCCAGCCCTGCTCCCCTGCCCACAGCAACGCCCCAGTCACCCCACAAACTGCTGCAGTGGCTTCCTGCCCTGGCTGCATTCCAATGAGAGTCTGTGCCTTGCCAGCCCACTGCTCCCCTGAAGCCGGCAGCACCCCCAGCCTGGTGTGCCCCAGCCCTGAGCTGGCAGCGTGTGCTGATGGCCAGCTGGCCGTCTGCTCCTGCAAGGCTTGGGCACAGCTTCCTACCAAAGAGTGCTCTGCCACCACCGTCCTGGGCCCGTCGATGTCCTCCCCCACACACCCTCCAGTCGGGCTGCACTGATGTAGCCACGGTGCTTTTAGTGCCTTTAATAAACACGTCTCTGCGAGTGCCGGCTGTCTCCAGGCCTGCGGTTTTGCCGAGCGAGGTGCAGCCAGCTGGGAAGGTCATGCTCTGCCCTCATCCTGCTCCCCCCTGGGGCCTGACTCAGCTCCTTCCAGCTTTCCAGGGAAAATCTTCGCCTCGGATTTCTCCTCCTCTACCCGCGCCAGCCCGGGCTGGACCCCTTAGGCTGCCTGGGTCATCCCTCTGTGTTTGTAGCAGGCAGGATCACTAACAGAGGCAGTAACTAATCTGAGGGGCAAAATGGGGCAGGGGTCTCACCCTGGTAGTCCCCACTTACCTGGCAGTGTCCTCTGGTCCCTGTTGTGCCCTGGCCCCGAGTCCTGCACAGGGGACAAGAAGTCATGGGACACGCGTGGGCCACGTGCACCGGCTCTGGGCGTTCTCCGGCATGGAGCAGCCAAGCGTTCGCTCACACGATGCAGCTGCTGTCCCGGAGGATGGGTGTGAGGCTGTGCCGGCACCTCCGCCTGGAACGGGCTCGAGGGCAGCGGGTGTGGGGAAGCGGGTGTTCTCCTCCTGCTCTGCTCTGACAGCTGGAACGGTCATTAATAATTGCAGCTCTTGCAGTGATGAGCAATTGTAAGGGAGATTGTCTTGCTAATCTACTGGAAGGTTCCGCCAGGGGCAGGAGCTGGCTATGGGAAGCCAAATGCCTCCTGGCATTACCCAGATCTGGGCAGCGGTGACACATCTTCCTACTGCCAGCTACAGGAGTGCAAAACCCCATCAAAGATGAGATGGGGAAAAGAGGAGTGATGGAAAGTGGCTGGGGCTGGGCTGGGTGCTCAGGCTGTGCCACATGTGAGCAGTGGGATGGTCACACTGAGGAGCAGCAGGACACAGCTGTAAAAAGGGACAGAAACAGACAGTGCCTGCCTGGCAGGGCTGGGAGGAGCAGGGCTGGGTGAGTGCCTGAGCGTGAGTCCCAGCTGTGCAGCCAAGGTCAGGGGAAGCACAGGGGAAGGTGAGGCGGCTGCGGCCCCACGTGAGCAGCCACTGAGCCAACCCTGGCTCAACCAGGACAGCGACCAGTGAGTGGAGGGCAGGGAAAGGGCAGGGGGAGGCAGCCGTGCGGGACGGAGCCTGTGGTGGTAGCACGGCCTGGGAACAGGTTCTGCCAGCTCAGCCCGGGGGTGCCCGGCCTTGGAGGAGGGCCAGGGCAGAGCCACGGAGCCACAGCCAGCCCCCCTGTGCCACTGCCAGGTCTGCACTCACAGAGGCTCAGCTCCTTTGGGTTCATGCCCTGTTGCCTCTGGCCCTACTGATGATGGCTCTACCACCCAAGGTGCCTCTGTGCTTTGCCAAGAGCAGCTCTTGCCCACCAGCTCTGCGCACCATGTGAGGAGCTTGTGCACAGGCAGCGGAAGGAGGGTCTCGGGTGGGCTGTGGAGGTGGAGCCTTGGGAGGGGCTGCAGCCTCGCTGCTCTGAGAACAAAGCCTGGCAGAAGCAGGCTTAGGGCTCCCACCATGTCCCTGAACAGGGGCCCACCACATCCACCCCCAAAGCCATCTGATCCTCTTGTGGGGCGCCTGCCATGGCCCCAGCCCCCTCACTGGCCCCGGCAGCTGCTCTGCAGCTGCTCCCAAACTCTCACAACCTCTTAGGGCGGCTCCCACTCTGGCCTCAGTCGGAAATGCTGGTGCAAGGAGGGCATGAGGGGAGCAGACAGCACAGGCAGGGCCCGTAGCACTCTGTCCCCTGTCCCACTGGGCTCATCCACAGGCTGCTCTGAAGGGCTTGGTTTGGGAGGGGTCACACTAGCAACAACCCCAACCTGCACGGATCAGGTCACTGCTGCTCCGGCAGAGAAACCCCTTCAGCACGGTTCTGGTCCAGGCTGGGGGCAGTGCTGGAGGACAGGGTAACACTGCCTGCCCTGGCAGGAGCATGAGGACCTGGATGGGAGCCCCTGCACAGCCCTGTGTGGGTCAGTGCAAATGCAACTGTGAGAGTTTACACAGGGGCAAAACCTCCTGGGAAAGGTGCGGTTGGACAGAGCCTGCAGGGTTCTGAGGGGAGGCAAGGACTGGGGGCAGTGGGCATGGAGGGGCAGGCAGGCAGCAAAGGGGCCCCCAAAAAGGCTGTGCCCGCTGACTCCTCACAGCAGTGAGGGCTCAGCTGGGTGTGTGGGGCAGAGCCCATGGTGCCATGTCCTTGGAGAGGAAACCTCGGGCACGACGGCCCTGTGGAGGGGAGCTGAAGGCATAGGAAACCGGGTGTTGCTGTGTCCCCTGAGTGAAGAGGACATGGGGCGGGGGAGGGTCTGGGGATGGAGAGGACCACCCAGTGAGGTTCCCAGGGTGCAGGTTCCCGGGGGGGCAGCACAGGATGCAGGTCCCCAGGGCAGAGATGAGAAACCACCCGGGGTACAGGTTCCTGTGAGGAGCTGAGGCGGGGTTCAGTGTCCCTGGGGCGGGGGACGACCCGGGGCGCGGTGTTGCTGGGACGGAGCAGAGCCCGGGCTGCGGGATGCCGGGGGCGAGCCGTGTGCAGGGGCAGCCCTGTGCGGGGGCGATGCCGCCCGCATCCCCGAGATCCCGGCCCGGGGCCGGTCGGCGCGGTAGGCGGTGTGCCCTGGGGGCGCCCCGGGGGCGCGGCGGGGGCGGGGGCCGGTCGGCGGGGGCGGAGGGGAGGAGGGGGCCGCCGTTCGCGGCGCTAGGACCGGGCGCGGCGGCGGGCGGAGCCTCCCGCCGCTCGCCCCTCCGCCCGGCCGCTGCGGCAGTGTCTCGGAGGCGGGCAGGCGGCCGGTCCCTCCGGTCCCCGGCAGCATCCCGGCCCTGCCATGGCTGGCGTCGGCTTCGCGGCGCACCGCCTGGAGCTGCTCGCCTCCTACCAGGACGTAATCGGCGAGGATAGCCCCACCGACTGGTGAGCGCGCCCGCCGCCGCCGCCCCTTTGTCCCCGCCGCCGCCGCCGCCCTTTGTGCACGGAGCCGCCCGGTAACACCGGCCGCGCCCCGCGCTGCGCCCCCCGCCGTCCCCGGGAGCCCCGGCACACAAAGGCGGGCGGGGCGGCGGGGGGTGTGCCCGGTCCGCCGGCTCCGGTGCCCGCACCTGCCCTCCGCCGCCGCACCGGGCCGGGGCGCGGTCCCCGCTTTGTCTGCGCCGGGCCGGCACGTGCGAGCGCCGGGACCCGCCGCCCCCCGGAGCCCCCGGCGCGACCCCCGCCGGGCAGCGAGAGCCGGGAACGGGGGATCCGCGCACGGCGGGGAGGGCCCCGGGGGGCTCGCTGATGCTGGGCCCGGCCCGGTCCCTCGCCATTGTCTGGAGCCAGAGCCGCGGGCAGGGGCGCCCGGGGGCGGGGGATGGGGAGGGGATCGGGGCACCCCCAGCCCGGCCCGGCTCCCCGACCCGGCCCCGCTCCCCGACCGGCCCAGGCGGTCCCGCTGCTCGGCGGGGCGAGGCCTGCGGTCGCGGGGGCACCAGCATCCCCCGCCGTCCCGCTGCCCCCGGATCCCCCAAGTTCCGGGGGTGCCACATCCCTGGGGGACCTCGGTGCGTCGGCCTGGGATTGCCCCGGCGGGCTGGGATTGCTACGGATTTGGGGTGGGGGGTGGCTCTCTCCGGTGGGACCCCCCGGCTGCCCACTCTGCCCTCCATGCCTCAGTGCGGGGCACCCGGTTCTGCGGTGCCGGGGCCCGGCTGGATCCAGGCCCCGCTGCAGGGAGCATCACCCGCTGCCAGCCCGTGTCCCCCAGCGCTCACTCGCATCTCCCACTCCACCTGGGTGCCGTGGGGCTGGCCGGGGCCGTCTGGGGCCGTCTGCCCCGAGACCCCCTCGTTGCCCCCCCAGGGTGCCTGTGCCGTGCGGGGATGCTGCCGGCACGCCGGGATGCAGCTCGCTGGGCAGAGCCGGAGCACTGGGCGGTGTGGGGTGCTGGGTGCATGCTGTGCATGATGCTCTCAGAGGGGGCGAGGAGGAGGCTGCCGTGCACCCACCACACAGCCGGGGCACCCACCTCCCAGCTGGGCTGCACCCACCGCCCAGCCGGACACACGCCCATCTTTAACCGGGTCCCTGCTCTCGGGACAGGGCTGCGTGGGCCTGCGTAGGTCCCGGTCCCCATCAGCCCTGGGCCCCGCGGCCCCGCCGGCAGCCCAAGGGCGCTGTGGGCAAGCGCCGTGCTTGTTGCCGGCCAGGCGGCAGCTGTCAGCTCTGGGTACATCTCGCTTCCCGGCATCCGCTGCAAAGGAGCCGTCCCTGCCAAAGCTGCTGAGAACAGCAGAATCGGTTCCCGGGAAGGCGAGTGCTGGTGCCGGGTCTCCCCCCACCCTCTCCAGCGTTGAGGCCGGCCGGGCAGTGATCCCTCGCCATCCCCGTCCTGGAAACTGAGATTGCCGTCGTCCCCAGCTGTTCCATCCCATGGCCACCGGGGTGCCTGGCACTCGGTGCCCGTGGTAGCAGCATCCCTCCTGCAGGGCCCGGTGCCGGGGTGCAGGATGAAGGGTGATGTTGGGGGGGCTGCATCGGGCAAGGTGATGGGGACAATCCCACGGGGTGGGGGCCCAGCCTGGCTGAGCCAGGTTCTGGGAGGACACCGTGCCAGAGCCCCGGTCCTGGGCTGGTGCCGGGGGATGCCGCGTTCTTGCCCGGCTGGGATCCCTGTGTTTAGTCTGGGATTCCCCCTGCTCCAACCCGGTCCTGGAGGGTCCGACCATCCCCTCCCCCTGCCCGGCCCCGCGAAGGCTGCTGGGGCCCATTACTCGATCGGAAAGGAATTTGGTGCTGCTTTCTGAGCACGCCGACTCCCTGGAGCTCCCAGCTACATTGGAAACACATGTGCCGGGGCTGGGACGGGAGGCTGGGGCAATGTGACCCCGCCATGGCGTGGGGGGTGGGCTGCTGCGGGAGCCCTGGGTGCTGGCACCCAGAGGTGCTGCTCTGCCGGTTCCAGTGAGCAGCAGGGCCATGCAAGGGCAGTGGGGCCATGCTCCCCTTGGTGGAGTGATGGGAGATCCTTGCTGGAGCCCCCCGCCTACAGGGAG